CTGCACGAATACTTTTAACTTAGATGTGCATACCTTCATCATTTAAATGAACTTTATCTGACAACAAAGCCACGATTTTTCCAAAAAGTTATATTTGTACGTGATTTCAAAGTTGAAGACAGTACCAGATTCATTTTGTTTACTTTGTTATATAATCGGGACCTGACCTTTCGGAATATCTCGGCAGTAATTGCCCAACGATCACGTGACTAACACCATACACTGTAATTATTTAATCACAGAATGACGCGATATCTCGAGCCAATTTCTCAGGTTTCCTCTCGCTTGTCAAGTCATTACTGCTTATTTGAATAAATACAGAATCTGGTTTAAAAGTGTAAAAAACGTGCATAAATTCTGCTTTCTGAATTCTTTTACGACTCGGACGCAATGTACTTCCACCGAATTTCAACCTGAATTTCAATACCATCGAATCCTAAATTATATCGCCCCTCTGCACGATTCTCGTACAAAAATGATTCTAATCTATGTACAAATGAATGACCAAATATCAAAACTCGGTGAACCATAATATACAAATTTAAGAATTTACACAATATCAAACGAATAATTTGAATTAAATAATATTTAAGATGGCTTTTACCTTCTGAACAAGTTCTGTGTAATCGTAACTACGTCTTTTCTGTACTAAATCGCCAGTTGTCTTCTGTCCAAAATTGAATAAAGCCTCTTTCAGGAACAAACTTGAAAATTGAAAATCTTTACTTTTCTAGCAAAACAAAAATAGCGTCTAGTAGCATTCAGTGCAAAAAAAGTAATTTATTCAGAATATCATAAAGCATTATACAACTGACAGTTATGGACAATTATGACATAAAACAAAACTGAATAAATGACAACAATTGCAAAGGTGGGCTATTTTGTATGCAAATATTTCCTGCAAAACATACGTTAATTTTGTACATGCGGGTTAGAACACTCATTTTCAAAATTCTCTCAGGAAAGGCTAGTTATATCAAAGGGACATTAGCTGTCAAATTCATGTATACCGATTTGAATCAAGTTTTCACGTTTGATTTATTACATACTAAAACGTATATTCAAATTAACACACTTACAGACCAGCACATACATTTCCAAGCCATATGCAAAATAACCACACTGAATCAGACCATCAAAGAATTACACATACTTTTAAGTGTTGACAAAAATAATGGATGAACGTCATACAACTTGACATATGTCTATTAACAGAGATCAATGCTAATATTGACATATTCTAAATTGGTTCGATCATTTGTAGAAATGTATGATTAAAGCTTTAAAATTTTATTACGTAAATAGTACAAAACATACGGAATCAGTAAATGTTCGAAATACCACCTATTGACACTATTTGTCCATGGTGAACTTTGGCGAATTTGTTACCCTTACCCCTTTTTTCAGAAAGTTCTGAAATGAAATATTTTCAATAAGCAGTTTTTCAGAATAGATATGACTTGGGACTTGTAAAAAGTCATTACCACCTATTGATTATTTAATTTCCATTAAAATCAAGAAATTACACGGTCCTCGTAGGTATTGTTATTAGATCCACATTACCTTTTTGAATCACTATTCATTCAGTCCGTCCTGGTTGTCAATAACCAATCATCGTAATTTTGATTACAAAAATATCTGTTTACGACAAAAAATGATATTCAAAATAAATTAAAACAATTATGATAGCTTTAAATCAATGACGGTTTTATGTTGGTCTAAGATATGAATATCATTCGTGTTTCCCCCCTCATTCATAGGAATAATGGGAGTTTTTTCCAATCCATAATTAAACAATCCTGACACATTTGACCTGGTTTAAAGTTTATTTCTATTAAATGGTTATAAAGAAACCCGATGTTTTGGAATTTTTCGATTCTTTGAACTCAATATGATTTGCTTATCAGACGTACATTTGGAAAATATCAATATATATTTTTAAACTATCTATTATTCTATTCTTAATTCGATGTGTGCATAATTAAAATGTACTTGAAAAAACATTATGTCAATTTAACATTATACGGCTACTTACTTTTGAAAATAAACACATGTTATTTCGAATATTGAATCACGATAATAAGTCCTGTTCCAGAAGTTAAGAATTATTGGATATGTGTATTTCAAGTCGAATACGTATACTGAATAGTAGAAAATTTGGAGATTAAATTTACATCCGCATGCCATTCCAAAATTAGTTTCTCCTTTGAATCTTTTTCTCACATAAACGCTTTTCTTTTGCATAGAATGCTCCGATTGTTTTAAACGCACATGTGATAAACCGATTTGTAATAAAAGGTCAAAAATCAGGATGCCAACTTGTAGTTGTCCGAACTGCTGCTCGTTTTAGCTTTGAAGACCTGTTCTAGGATACAAAAATTTAAAATATTTCGTTAGATGACCACAAACACATCATTATTTGTTAGATCCATCGTCATCCTCGATCCTCATTTCAACAGACATACACCTATCTATCTTGGATTAGATTAATTTTAAATGAACTTTTAAAAAAAATCACAGCAGTATTTGATTTTGATGAATCCCCTTATCCTCCAGTTAGTATTTTGGCATGAAAGCTGAACTCTTCTATTGTTAGGGGGAATTTGAAGAGTATCAACGAGACCAAGGTGGTGGTATTGTGATTGGCATGCACATAATAATTAGGAATGTGTACTTTGTTCAACCACTTATTGTCAAGCTTAACAGTTTGAAATGCATTGCTGCGTTTATGAGCAAAAGGAAAGAGTATTTTGTTCTGTTAGGATAAAGCACCTGAGGGGGTGACAGGCATTTTAAGGGAATATTTTAATACATTGGGATCTACATGATTAGCAAGATAACTATCTTGAGCCGGATGTTATATTAGTACAAAGCAAGAATAATTCACCTCAATCATTATTTTGATCCTGAATATGGATAAATAGTTCCAACTGGATGTCAAGCAGCCAATAAACAATCATTATAATGAAACCGACTTCTATCAAATATCTTTCAGGGGCATTTGTTTGGATACATACACATATTTTAATTTTATTCAACATGTGTCATTTACCTAACTATCATATTTCCTCTTGTAAAACTGCATCTGCTATGCTTTCGAAATATATATATGGATTCATATGAAAAGTCACGCAGACAATGCTTATTGAAGAAAACAACCAAAATTAACTAAACCACAGTGAGACAAGAAAGTCTGGTATGATACAGGCACCAATAAATCAGAGCACTAGAGCATCTGCTGTCCTCCTCGTTTTTCTATGAAGTAGCCCAGTTATAACATCTACATAAATTGTACAACTTCTAAATCGCAAAATTTAAAAAAAAAAAAAAATATTACCGCTCGTTTCACTTGTAGAGCACTCGCCTCCAAAAACTCATTTTCAAAAATAAAATAAAAACAAAAAAATTTCGCTCCTTCGCCCCATATTTTTTGGAACATTTGTCCGAAGAACTAAAAATCAAATTGGTGTGGCTTAAGAATGGAATTAAATGATTTGCAATTACAACCTATTATTGCAATACCACTATAATCAAAAGGATCATATTTTGAACCTGATCTAGTTATAATATACCCTATTTTCCAACATTTTGGATAAAAACCAGTCCATGATATACTATAAAACTGTTTAACATGACATGGAAGCAAATTTGACTCATTACATTTGGGCATTTCGTTTGAAAATTAAGAACATGTATAATGATAATTTTTTACAAGATTAATTAAGTGATAAATTAACAAATACATTTAAAGCTAACATTGGAGTTAGACAAGGAGAAATCTATGTCTAAATATATTTGTCAATGATTTACGGTGTATTTTTGATGATTACTGATTACCAGCTGAAATAGAAAGTACAAAACTTAATTGTTAATGCATGCCCATGATGTGCTTCTTTCCACTAGTCAGTGAAAGAGAGGCGAAGGATACGAAAGGGACATTCAAACTCATTTTTCGAAAACAAACGAACAACGCCATGGCTAAAAATGAAATAGACAAACAGACAAACAACAGTACACAAAACGCAACATAGAAAACCGAAGACTAGACAACACTTACGAATGTATTAAGTCATCTTGGTATTCTAGTATTGTATAAATGTTGACATAAAGTTTTGACCTTGAATAGGTTACAAATATTTTAATAAGTAGATATATAGGATTTGCTGGAAAAATATCTAAGATGATAATGCGAATGTTAAAAAAATGAAAATTGCGTACTTATATTAAATTTAAAAACATCTTCAAAAAGGAATCATATTTATGTCAAGTTAATAAATTTCATTATCGAAAAGCTTTACTCAATTTAAAATAAGTGCTCAACAATTAGCTATTAAAAAAGGTCGATATAAAAGTATCGATAAAGAAAAGAGATTTTTGTAAAAGTGAAAAAATATGCTGGTGGAAAATGAGTTTCGTTTTTAAAGGAATTTACTGCATATGAAAAGGAAATGAATCCTATTCTTGAGGAAGCATGTATTCAATGTAAAAACTTCCCCCATATTTCAAAGTACAAAAATGAAAAGGTTAATATATCTTTGTCACGATTTATTAGTACTTGTTTTGAAATAAGAGATCATTTGCATTTCTAAATATATATGTAGTAGTGATGCAGTTTACATTCTATGTATTACAAAGGGTTAATATTCTATTTATTTATTTGTAAACACTATCTGGTATGGAAGATTTGTTTTCAATGTCATACATCTTTAAACTACTGTATAATTTGTATAATATGTATATCCTTGAAAACGGACCCTTTTATCGGATTTAATATATACTTGTATGACATCCGATGTAAACTTGATATCCTAGTCAGGTAGTTTGGCACAACGGTTAGGATGACTTTTGCAAAACAATTTAAGAATAAACATCTATTTTGATGCTAAAGAATTCCGAAAAGTCAGACGTATATTTATTCATGTTCATGTTTGTTCAGATTTGAATGCATTTATTGATTATGCTACATACGTTTGTTTGAAACAAAATATTTAACATTGCAGAGATGAGTATCAAAATAAAAAGACTTCAGTACAGACAAATGAAGATGTAGAGGTATCATTTATATCTTTGTATCTATAGAAAGAAGAAACATAGTCTATTTAGCACATATTTTAATTGTTGATACGCAATAATAATAAAAAGGTATCACAAGAGAGCACATCGATTCAAAACAACAGTTTTCATAAATTAAAAATGTAAGTTATTAACTGACTAGTATTCATGGTATTAGTACCATGTCTATTAAAATACGATATAAAACCTGAATTTATTTAAGGTATGTCCACTCCTAGAAATGTCCCTAGAAAAATAAAAAAAAGTATGCTAAAGAGTTGTTAAATGTTCAAAATGTAACATTTATGTACTGTTGTATAACGTGATTTTTCTTACAGTTTGACGTTTCTTGTTCAACAAGTTGCTGGAACTGATGAAGGTTTTAATTGAAGGAAGATAATTCAGGACTATCCATAATACTTGTGGTTGTTCGATAAATATCAGTTCCTTCTGTAATGTTTATTGGCATACGTATGCTCTTCTGTATTTTTAAAGTTATGGTGTATTTATTCTTGAGATAACTTTTCTTATGTGTGCCACGTCTTTCTCTCAATTTTAGGCCAGTTGGTGTAATAAAATTTCAATAAGACACACACCACCTATTCTTGGTCCTCATTCCTATCAATGTTAAATGTTTTACTTGAAAACATTTTATGGAAGCGGGATCAATATACCTGTATTTATACATTAGACCGTACTGCACTGGTTACCGGAATTTTGGATACTCTAAACCAGGCACTTCATATCTGAGAAACAGGCAATATATGCCCTCAATTTTAGAATTCATTCATACATTTTTGTATTATTCAAAATTATCAGTAAATTGTGTGTTCTACAAGGATCACTAGTCCTTCACCTTTCATCTGATACTTTAATTACTAAAATGTATGCTACATAGTTTTAGATTTACACCTATGCCTAGGAACTATTTTGTTTTAAATATGTACTACTTTCCAGTATGCTTTTTTTAGACCGGGCCCGATTAGGTTGTGATAAATCTTACGAAGTCTATCCAAATTTATTTTTGCAAAGAATTCCGCTCAAGCTGGTGCTAGGGACCGTCTTAAACTTCCAGTAAGGTGAGGATTTTTTTTGCTCATTGTTGAAGGCCTTACTGTGACTTTGAGAGGAAGAAAACAGCAATAAAAGCGTTGTTCCTTTGCTTATTGTGTGTTTTTTTGCTGTGCATGTACTGATTTTGTGTCAAGGATGGATACCCCATATCCTTTGTTTTTTATATATATAACCTTTTTCAAAATTGTGGCACTAATAACAAATCGAGGTCACCAATGGTCTCTTAAAATACCTTATGAAAATTAAAATGTATGATACTTCATACAAGACCACTTTTGTTGGACTGACAATTCCTGCCAGTTCTTTTAGCCAAGAAGTTAACTACATATATTGGTGTTTTCCATTGACTTCATTAACATTTTGACGGTACAATTTCAGTAAATACGTTAGCATTTAAAAAAATGTTTCACGATTGCAATGCAAACCGTTTTAGTTCAATATAAAAAAAAGAAGATGTAGTATAATTGCCAATGAGACAACTCCCACCAGAGACCAAATGACACAGAAGTTAACAACTATAGGTCATCGCATGGCCTTCAACAATGAGTAAAACCCATACCGCAAAGTGTAAAACAATGCAAACGAGAAAACTAACGGTCTGATTTGTGTAAAAACAATGAACGAAGTACAAAAATGATATACAGCAAAAAACGACAACCACTGAATTACAGGCTCCTGACTTTGGATAGGCACATACAGAATGTGGCGAGTTTAAACATGTTACATGGTAGCGTGCGCCCAACCCTCCTGGAATAGTGGTGTAACAGAACAACATATGAAGAAACTACAAAAAACCAGTTGAAAAAGGTTTAGCTCATCAGATCGATACAAAGTAAAAAACAAGTAACAAAAACACAGACCGGACGTGGCAGGGTAATTTTACATCCCTTTTACAAAAGTACAGATCTGAGAGTATTCGCAGTGACTGACAGCTAGTTCAAAGCTAATAACAACCAATTAAAAAATCATGTAACTAAGACTAAAGTATCAATCAGCACACATCCAACATCCTATGGATTTAGTGTAAAGACGTCACTAACAGTCAGAGAAAAACATGATCTTGTGCAATGCCAAAATACAGTTATCGACAGATTGTAGAACCGTTCAAGCCAATAAGGTTTCGAGGTTTAACTTTTTTCCCCCTCAATTTGGGTTCCTAAACGTACGTCTGTAGAACAGTTTTACAGTACCTGATGAAGCATGTGTTGATCTCATTTATCATGTTAGTAGACATCGAAAACTTATTATTTATTATATCATTAAATGATTAACGATTAAATTCAAAAAGATTTAAGAATTTCAGATCATAATATCACAAAATGAAATACTCCTTTTGTGTATTATTTAAAAAAGTTAAACCGTTTCATTGATATTTCAACATGTTGTGACCAACCTTACATTCGGTTTGAAGTAGGTATTTTCTTCTCTTTGGTCGGGTTCTTGTCTCTTTGACACATTCCCCGTTTCCATTCTCAATTCTATTTATATCTGACTTCCTCTGGTTTATTTTAATTCAAAAACATTTACAGAAAAGGCCTGCTAGATACTTCATACATGTTTACAAAATATATATCCGTAACTCCCTTATAACACTATCATTACAAGTGTGAAACAATTGTCCATCTAGTATATATATAATTAGGTTGAAATTTCAAATATACTGCCTTCATATTATTCAATCTAGTAAAGGATATTGACATTGTTCCAATCGATAATTTTGATATGTTGTAAAAAATCATATTATATAAAAAAACATTTAAAGTGTCTATTTATCCGACTGAACTTTTTCAAATATTTTGAGACTTAACTTTACAAGAAATAATGATAAGACATATCGTGTTTCTATCTTATTTACATCAGATTGATGTTCAGATATTACCTGTATGTTTTAATAAAAGGCTTCAAGTGAAGCAATTACATTGTGAAAAATCATTAAGGTTTCCCCTGTTAACTATTAAATGAAAGGAAATCATTAGTCAACTGTTAATTTTGTTTCTGTAAAAAGAATGTAGAATGTAAAAGTTTATGAGCGAAGAACAGTCTAAAAATTAAGTTGCAGCTAAAATCAGTGAAGGAAAAATGTACTGTAGGAAAAAATCAGTATGTTCCAAAAATACGATAATTTGTAAGTGATAACTTCAAGATCTTTTTATTTCAATTATTTATTCGTCTTTGTATTTAGATTAAAGTTATAACGTTAAGAACTGACAATGCATAGTAGATTACCCCAAACTGTTACCTGTTTATTTTTCTTTCACATTTGTCAATTTCAAATTTGATTTTTGTTACTTTATTTTGTCCGATTTATTTATAAGCAAACCCCATGGGATGACGAGGACAAAGATGAACTGAATAATGATCAGAACAAAGCAATGCTAGTACAGGATGATGATCACGATGGAGAACAATTAATAGCAGTAAATGAAGATAATGAGGTAAAAGTATTAATGCCTCAATTAGTTACACAAATAATCCGTTTAATAATGATCATTTGTAACCAGTATGTTCAAAGATATGATTGCAATGTAACATAGTTGTGTTAAACCATTACTAATTCTTTTACAGTTTTTTTTCAATAGGACAAACATATTGGTTTTGTTTTTCATTTGTTTGGATAAAACAGTTATGATTCTTTTATTCTTTTATTTAAAAATATTCATTTTCATTATTACATTACTAATGCTGTGTCTTCATTCAGCACTTAAGCTATTTTAATGTTTTCATTGCAATTATTATGGTTACCTGAGCACATTTAGTATCATGTTTTTCAGACATATCTTTCTGGCAAATGATATGTAAATGCTTTTTTTATATCAAGTCTTACATGAGACTAATGATGAAATTAATTAGATATGCCTGTTTCAGATACATTAGTGTTTACCCTTGTGTCATGTTATCAGTCGAAAATGGTCATTTTGGTCTGATCAAGTCTCAATCGACTGAATCTACTGCAAGAAAACAGAAACGTTTTCAGACTTTCAGACGCCGTTGCGATCGATAATCACGACGGTCAGTTCATATAAAAATAAGAAGATGTGGTATGATTGCCAATGAGACAACTCTCCACAAGAGACCAAATGACACGGAAATTAACAACTATAGGTCACCGTACGACCTTCATCAATGTGTAAAACCCATACCGCATAGTCAGCTATTAAAGGCCCCGAAATGACAAATGTAAAACAATTCAAACGAGAAATCTAACGGCCTGATTTATGTTCAAAATAATCAACGAAAAACAAATATGATATACAGCAACAAACGACAACCACTGAATTACAGGCTCCTGACAGGGACAGGCACATACAGAATGTGGCGAAGTTAAACTAGTTTGAAGGCTCCAACCCTCCCTTAATCTGATACAGTGGTGTAACAGTAAGAACGTAAGAACAAACTATATATCAGTTGAAAAAATGCTTAGCTCATCAGATCGATACAAAGCACAAAAACATCTAACAAAAACACAGAGTGGACGTGGCAGGGTACTTATACATCCCCTAAAACAAAAAGACACTAAGTTCAGATATGAGAGTACTCGCAGTTACTGACAGCTAGTTCAAAGCCAATACCAACTACATAAAAAATCATGCATCTAAGACTAAAACATCAATCAGTACACATCCAACAATGTGCAATGCCAAGATACATGTGTCGACAGATTGTAGAGCCATGAATGTGCATATGAACATAAAAAAAAGTTTAGTTTGATTTTAATTTACTGATAACAAAATCTGTGTGTTCAGTCATGTTAAATTCAACAAGACGGAAGGTTCTAGCTTTTGATGAAGACCTGTTAAGATGGTTTTGACGAAATGATATTAAATATAAAAAATGACGCTCAAATTTGTCAGAGCATGTTCAGATCCGTTCATTATGTCAGTTTGATACGATAAGTTACCTTCTGGTTGGTGATACATTTAAGATATAACAAATTATATTTTGAAATATCAAAAAAATGTTCTGTTGTTTTTTATTTCTGTTCTTAAAAGATATTATTGATTACTTTATGTATAACGTTAAAAACTTTGTTGTTTTGCTGAAGAATTAATCAATTATTCGTCTAAAATGTTTCTAATTTTATTAATCTTCTAAAAAAAGTATTCCAGTTTTGTTTTCTAATTAGCATTATTTTATTTATTTACTTATTTATTTATTTATTAACTTGATCAAGTATATTGCAAAATCTATCATTTTTTTTCAAATAATTTCTGAAACCTGTATTTTATGATACAAAATCACGGGTAGTAACGTTTTCATATCGAGGAGCGTTTAGAAGAGTCATTTTGTTATAGTTTGGTTAAGTTGGTCATAGTTTTGTTTGGTTACTTCGCAGAACGAGTACCTCAGTTCTTTTCCAATGAGCAAATAAAAGGAAATAAGATGTTTTAATCTATATGGTAAATCAAACGAACTACATTGAAATTATTGTTTTTAAGAAATTTACGCAGAATAAGCAATATACCGATATTGATATGGTTTTGTTAAGTGATTGACACTGTTCAGGAAAATGTGTAGAAGATCGTCATGGTTTTGGTCAAATTTGTCATAGTTTAGATGCAAATAAATACATATTTGTTTCACCTTAATATTGCTTGTTTGTTTGGTGGCGTTATATAAAAAAAAACGGAGTTCTTTTACTATTTAACTAAAATGAAAAAAACGGGCTTTTAAACCGGGGATTTACAAATATCGTGCGAAGCATCACTAGTCAAATGGTTAAAGACGTCTATTGAAAGTTGCAAAACGTAGAAGCTATTCATTTTTTTTACAATTGTGTTCTAGCAAACTATGCATCTTTTGTTTTATTTTGAACCAGATTATATCTTTGATGAATAAAAGGAGATGTAAGGGTTATACGCCAATGATACAGTAACCCCACAACAAAACTCACCAAACGATATCGAGAGGGTACCATAAGTCGTCAACAAAAGATAGCTGTATATACAATATGTCAATCTCTTAATCGCCCAAAATCTATAAAGTCTTGAATAAATCAAACACAGACATTAGAAATTGTTAAGGACAAACATAAGACTAAGGTGCACAAGTCCCCCTCAAAATCCTTATTTCGTGAATATCTAAAATTGAAGTATTTTTGTGACTCGTCTGTAGTGCCCGCATCCAAACATTTGAAAGTCAAAAATGATTAAATTGAAGAGCAATCGATTATACCAAATATTCCATAAAGTTGTGCATTGGGGCAGAAAAAAACATTTTATTAGCGGTAAATGTACAGAACATGACTGCATGATTGATATTTGTTGGAGAGTTGACTACTTGGTTCGTAATACCTCGTGACGAAACGTCAAACAACAAAACCCTATCGACTAGCGGACGCGAAACAAAGCCTCAGTTTTGACCTGACGTAGAAAGTCATGACATTCAAGTTATTTAACCATCGCTGCACGGGACAAAATCTTAATAAGGACAACAGTTAAATTTGTTTTTAAAATAAACTATAAATGAAATTTAGTTGAAAGAGTACCTCATATTTTCAAGGAACTCAATAAGTTGTAAATTACTTACAAGGTTCCAAATTTAAATAAATGAAAAATCACAATTTAGAAGTAGAATAAGGTCAATATAATGTCCATTTTGATCAATTATATGTTATCTACGATTGAAGAAAAACTATTTGTTTTTGTCACATTGTATAAATGTATTATGTAGTATCACCTAATCCGTTAAGCTTTTTCTTTTCTGCAATTAAGTATTGATAATAAGAAAAACCTCAGTCGATCTAGTATTTAGTATGAGAAGTTGTACATATTAAATATGATTGGAAAATAATTTAAATTCTAAGATACACGCTATATGAAATAAAGATAGCCTGTAATACAGTAGCTGTCAATTGTTACGGTATATCATGTTTGTGAATCTTTTTGGTGTTTTGTACATAAATCAGGCATTTGGTTTTCTCTTTTGAATTGTGTATTTTTAATTTTGTAAGGGTCTTTCATAATAGCTTTCTATCCGGTAAGGGGTTTGCACGGTGTTGACGGTAATTGTATAGATATTTACCAGCTTGAATTCATGTTCAGTTGTTCCTTTAGCTAAATATCAGGATGTTTATATTGTGTCATTGTTTGTCATTAAAAACACTTAACACAATTATGTCTAACTTAACCAAACTATGACAAAATCACTGTACTAAACCCTCCTCGATATGATGACGTTACTACCCGTGAGAATGTATTTATGTGTATTTACTAAAGGTTATAACAGCTATCGTATTATAACAGATTTGCAATAAACGAAAATTGCATGTATTGGAGAAATAATTTTTCTATGCAATCGTTTCTCACAAAACCTGTTTTATTTAGGTGTACACTTAACTTCAATCTGGTTTTAACCTAGCAGAAATAAACAAAATGTAGCCTATATACAGAATACATTGTGTATGGTTATTGGCTTCTTTTGTATTTGAAAAGAAGTAATTGCACATGGTAAACATAACAAGCATGTTTCATATAGAGGATTGAACTCGTTTTCCGTCGATTCTTAAAAAAATCTTCTAAAACTAAATAATTACGTTTGAGCTTTTCATAATTATTGTCGTAAGATTTATTTCGTGAAACTTGCACATGGGTCTACTGTCTCAGTTTTTTTTAATATATTAAACAATAAAATTTACTTAAACGAGTGGTGAGTCTTAAGGCGAAGTGTACGTAATTTACTACTCCACAGACATTTTTAAAATTCCACATATGGATTCTGCTTGTAAAAATACACCAGAAAATAAAATAAAAAAAGGGGGTAACCGTGTTCGTTTTTTAGATACGATCTGTTGAAATTAACAACATGATATGCCAAAAATACATAGACTATATAGGGAAAATCATGAAATTTGGCAAGAAGTTTTACATGATCAAGATATTCTATTTGATTAGTCCGCAGAATTTAAAAAAAAAGGCTGTGCCTTGCCGTATGAAAAGCGCGATTGTGATATTTATTACTAATGCTAATTTAAAAGCGTAAACAGTAACTGTCCAATTGATTAGAAAATAAGCCATCTGATTTTTTAATGGATAACTTTGCCGCTCAAAAAATGCAAGTGATGAATATAAGTTACTGTCGGCTTCAAAGAGTCAATATCGTTCATCATTATACTTTCATCTTTACTAAATTACAGTTGTCCGTACCTTTTTTGTTATGCTTGTATTGTACGGATTTTTACGAATCAAATATTAAAAGTTACTGATCGAGTTTGATTTTGTACTGTTGTCAGAATAACGAACCTACATATTTTAATCAGTAATAACATTTTATTATAAATTACAAAATTGAGACTCATTTCCTGCATCTTTTAATTTTCACCATTTCCGGTGCTATAAATTCGAGATATTGCTCGCAATCTAGTCTACATCTAAACCCATTTTGACTGATTCACACACATGCATTGGACACAACTCAGCAATTTTATTTCACCAAATTT